AAAGGAAAGGTTAATGTAGGCAGGACAGTGGGTTGAATGGATGGCACAATCAAACTAGGCAATTATCTAATCTTTGCTGGCCATCTCAGTGTGAGGAGAGCTCAGCTGACGTATGCCTGAATAAAACATGGCATCGTGCAAAGGAGCTCCCAGGGGTGTTAGGTCAAACATTAAAAAGCTAGAAATAGTTAAGCTACAATGAGAGAGAGAGAGCGACGGAACGGAAGACCTTGCAGACATGCTTGGATTAGCTGCCTGCTGAAGTGCACACAGGTTAGCCAGATTACACCTTCCTTCTGTCTGTGAAAATGCCAGGCTGAAACTCAGGCAGAGAGAGCAGTGCAGAAGCAAGGCTTAGTGGGGCTTCAAAAGCAGGCTGGACCTTGTGTGGGATTAGTCATGAAACCATTAGGGTTTGTCAAGTGGGATGCTGGGTAACAGGTTGATCCTCCCTCTGAAGCACCTCTTCAGTGAACCTTAACCTGCAAATATTCTACTGGATCAGGGCTCAGAGGTGGAGGGAAATTTTTGGAATATAAAATTTTGAGATATCACTGCAAATAATTGGAATTCCAATGGTTCATAATGCCTTGCCATTTCACTGCTTCTCACAATCACTGCCTTCCATAAAGTTTCCTCCTGCTGCAGTTCATATTTTCTTTCCTGTCACTTCTTGTTTTTGTTCTTACCATAGTCCACCCCATCTGTGCCGTGTCCAAGAAGTCCTCATCTTCTCTTAATGAGTCCAAGTCCAGACAGTCGTTCATGCAATTGCCTTACCTTCTATTCTAACAGAGAAACCAGTTTACCCTTGCTTTCAAGCAAGAAAATAAACATAATGCATCCATTGCAGATAACCTTTGAGTAAGTTCCACCAAACTCAATGGAACTTACTTCTGAGATCCAGCAGACCCAGACCAGCATGATGAGTGCAGCAGCCAAGACAGCAGAAGAGAGGAACAGGTGAGTTTGTTTTGCAGATCTGGCCCCCTGGCAGGGGGGTGGGGGCAAAAGGAGCAGTTCACGTCAAATGAACCACAATGCTCCAATTCCCAGCTTTCATTAAAAAAACACAACCAGTACATTTCTAGCATCTGTAGAACCTGAGATATAAAGCAAAATGTACAGACAGCATCCATCTCATTTTTATTATTGTGAGAAAACCAGGCTGCTGCTCCCTTTCAGTGCTTTACTTTGGACCACCACCATTACCGCCCGGTTTCGAATCTTCCGTTCCTGGGTAAGGTGATTGAGAGAGCGGTTGCTGAACAGCTTGGTGGGTTTCTGGATGAAACATCGGCTCTGGATCCATTCCAGTCCGGCTTCCGCGCTGGTCATGGGACCGAGACGGCTCTGGTTGCCCTAACAGATGATCTTCGTAGACAGCTGGATCGAGGCGGGTCGGGGCTGCTGATTCTTCTAGATCTGTCAGCAGCTTTCGACATGGTTGATCATGAACTTCTGGACCACCGCCTTGCCGACGTGGGGATCCAGGGCACAGTCCTTCAATGGCTGCACTCGTTTCTCTCTGGTCGGGGACAGAGGGTGGCGCTTGGGGGGAATTGTCATCGCGCCACTCCTTGGTATGTGGAGTACCTCAGGGTGCGATACTCTCCCCGATGCTTTTCAACATCTTTATGCGCCCCCTCGCCCAGCTTGTTCGGAGTTTTGGGCTGGGTTGCCATCAGTATGCTGATGACACCCAACTCTATCTGTTGATGGATGGCCATCCTGACTCGGCCCCAGACACACTGACCAGATGTTTGGAAGCTGTGGCTGGATGGTTACGTGGGAGCCGGTTGAAGCTAAATCCTTCGAAGACAGAGGTCCTGTGGCTGGGACGGGGCGATATGGGATTGGGGGGGGCAACTCCCATCTCTTGCGGGGGTGCAATTAGTGCCAGTACCGTCCGTTAAGAGTTTGGGTGTAATCTTCGACACCTCCCTTTCCATGGAGGCGCAGATTGCAGCTATAACAAAGGCGGCATTTTTCCATCTCCGCCAAGCTAAGCAGTTGGCTCCTTACCTCTCTCGCCCTGACCTAGCCACTGTGATTCCACGCGACGGTCACCTCCAGACTGGATTATTGTAACTCGCTCTACGTGGGGCTGCCCTTGAGACTGACCCAGAAACTCCAGCGGGTGCAGAATGCTGCAGTGAGACTCCTTACAAGGTCTTCGCTGCGAGATCACATTCACCCGGTGCTATACCAGCTGCACTGGCTCCCGGTGGAGTACAGGATCAGGTTTAAGGTGCTGGTTTTAACCTTTAAAGCCCTATACGGCTTAGGACCCTACGGGACCGCCTCTCCTGGTATGCCCCACAGAGAAACTTACGGTCTTCAAATAAAAACATCTTGAAGGTCCCAGGCCACAGAGAAGTTAGGCTGGCCTCAACGAGAGCCAGGGCCTTTTCGGCTGTGGCTCCGATCTGGTGGAACACTCTGTCACAAGAGACCAGGGCCCTGCGGGACTTGACATCTTTCCGCAGGGCCTGCAAGACAGAGCTGTTCCACCAGGCCTTTGGCAAGGGCACAGCCTGACTCCCTCCTTCGGCAATCTTCGCGGAGCTCTGGCCCAATGGCTGCCAGTGGCTTGAATTAATTAATTTTAGAATGAATGATTTTAGAGTGTTGTTTATGTTGTACTTTTGTACCGTTTTATTGTTGTTAGCCGCCCTGAGCCCGGCTAAGGCTGGGGAGGGCGGGATATAAATAAAATTTATTATTATTATTATTATTATTATTATTATTATTATTCTATAAAAATTATGTGGCTGCCCATGGCCCCTGCTCCTTGTTGCTGGCATACCACAACCCCGTATGAGGAGAGAGCCTGGTCATGCTGCATGACAGCAGAGCCCTTCCTCACATCTTGCAACATCTGGCTATGAGGGATGCTATCACTTATCAGGTTGCCATAAGTGATGACACACCCTTGGTAGTGACCCAAAGTGTGTGGAACTGAAGAGTGTTACTTTTAGGGAGGCACTTTGGAGGTGGCAGAAGGGCTACCCCATTTAGGATGGAGGGAGAAATTGTTCTAGCCCTTTCTGGGAGATATGGTGGCCCTTTGAGGCAAAGATTTATGGCTACTTGGTTGGGTATTATGTTTTTAAATCTTAGGTATTATTTTAAGTGTGGATTTTGGGGGTACTAGCTAGGGCATGTTTATTATTTTACTCCGCAGATCTTAATATATGCCTGGGAGGTTTTCAAAAAATCCTAGTGGAGAAGAAGGGCAGCTATGCCAGTATGATCTTGAGCAAAAGTATTCATGGTCATCATCTTAGTCTGACGCTAGAGGCATTCACACATTGTGTACAGTCTGTGTTTCTGTGTACACAGGTAGCTGGGCTGTACATCTGTAAAGTTATGAAATCTTCAAAGAATGTAGTGTCTGTGTACACAACAGCTGAGCTGTACAAATTAATAAGTGTACGCTCTTCCACACCAACACTTGTACCTGTGTTGGGTATAATATGTGAACAAGTCTCCTGTTTGACTTAACCCAGTCAAGTTTCATGATCAAAAAGGGAATGGAATTATGTGAATTCTCACTGTCCAACACTCTAATCACTACACCACACAATGGCACTCCTGCCTCATCTGTTGCCTTATCCACCACTCATCTACCTTTGCAACAGAGCAGCCTTTGAACTACGCATCATTAATGTACCAAAGAGTATGTACTTTGCACTGTTCTTTTGTTGTGAGACTTTCAGAGCTATATAGAGTAGGCTCGGGCGGACTTGAAGCCTGCCCCATCTAGTTTGCTAACCAGCTGGAGCCAAGTGCAGAACAGTGGCTTATAGCGGGGAGCAGGCTGCTGACATTCCAATCCGGTGTGCTCTGTTCTTTACAGGAATTTGTTTTCATTACCAGAACCAAGCTTACAGTCCTTATCATACAAAATAGCTCACTTGCTTGAGTGTGAAACTTAATCTCAGGGTCATGGATTTGAGCCCCACGTTGGGTAAAAGGTTCTTGCATTGCGGGGCATTGGATCAGATGACCCTCATGGTCCCTTCAAACTCTACAATTCAGCGATTCTAAATTCCTTCCAGGTTTCCCTCCAAGCTTTCTTCGTATCAGCAGCCTAATTTTAGAGGAAAGGTTGCTACCATTGTTATACAATTGGGAAATCCTTCTCACCAGGGCTTTTTTCCAGCTGGAACTCAACAGAACTCAGTTCCAGCATCTCTCAGATGGGTGCCATTGCCCTTATAAGAGAACAAGGGAGGTATTCATGGTTAGTTCTGGCACCTCCTTTTCTAGAAAAAAGGCACTGCTTGTCACCCCAGTCCTATCTTCTGACCAACCAATTGATATACAGGCACATAACAGAATATAGATCGAGGCAAAGGAGTCTTCCAAATATCAGATGAGTTTTGGTTGTCCCTCCCAGCCCCAGGATAAAACCGTACCATTGGATTAACACTGCATCCAGACAGTTGGAAAGATCCTAGCATGAAGCCATAAAACCTTACATTCAAATTAAAACAAAATGTATTAAGCTGCTGCTTGCCACGTTTTCCCCCAATTATGTTTCAATTTAGCTCAATTACTTTCCCATTAGCGTTCGGTGATTCTTTTTTAATTGAAGCTCCATGTTATTGTCTCCTTGATTTCCTTCTGCTATGTGATTCTCTAAGGAGCAGCAGAAACCAGCTCCTTGGGAGAATGGGCTGGCTTTTAAATTATCTGGAAAGGCAAAGCAATAGGAAGAAGTAAATCTGAGGACATTTCAACAGCCCTTTAATCTAGGGCCTGGGAACAACACAGCCACAGGAATTGTTACTTGAAGTATCTGTTGGTCTGTTATGCATCTATGTTATTCTCACATTCCTATAGGGAGATGAGGAGCTTCTGGCACGGTGCTACTGGCCCAGTGCATTACCATGGGAAGCCTAAGGAATGTGTTCAGTGTTAACTGCAATATCTCTTCAAACATGTGAATGCGTAAATGTCCATTCACAGCACACAAGAGCATTCCAACATACCTGTCACATGAAACTGGTGTAGTAAGATCTCCTTCTGGCGAGTTTGCTGTGAAAACAAACACAAACAAGCAATTTAAACCTCAAAGCAGGTTCAGTGTCAGCACCATTGTCAAATGCTGCAGTCTGAGGCTGACACCAGTTGCTGATTTCCCCTTTTTCCCTTGTTTTCCTTTTTGTAAAAAAAATAATGCTAAAATGGTGGGTGCATAACCCATTTGCATATATTCCTTTAAGAATTCTGGAGGGAGGGTACTTCTCCACATGCTCAGTAGTGAGCTGGAGCAGGAAGTAGCCACCACTGTTCAGTGAGTCTGTCGATAGAATGGGAGATAATTCTGGGGCAAGAGTCTGGAAGAAAAAAACATTAAAAGTACAGTGGTACCTCGGGTTAAATACTTAATTTGTTCCGGAGGTCCGTACTTAACCTGAAAATGTTCTTAACCTGAAACACCACTTTAGCGAATGGGGCCTTCTGCTGCTGCCGCACCGCTGGAGCACAATTTCTGTTCTCATCCTGAAGCAAAGTTCTTAACCTGAAGCACTATTTCTGGGTTAGCAGAGTCTGTAACCTGAAGCGTATGTAACCTGAAGCGTATGTAACCCGAGTTATTGAGGTGTTTATGTAAACACACACACACATATGCAAAGTTATTGTTTGATGCATGTGAGTTATATACCATCTGCTTTTGCAGCAATCCTTTGTTGTGAGTCCCTGCAGAGCCACTGAATAAACATATACATAGGGAAAGTTTCTAAAAAGGTTATAGGTACATGGCAAAGCACCAGTCAAAGCTGCAGTTGTGGGAGCCAAGGAGGAATGGTAAAACCAGGATGGCATGCAGTGCGGGGGGAACCAGGTGATGGGGGCACCTTGCTTGCAGGCCCCTCAAACATGGCATGACCCACAACCTCATAGTTTGGAATTTCAGTGGTATGCATTCATGAACTTTTAAGTGCAACTATTAATGATCAAATGCTGCATAATTTCTTAAACCTTACTCCATAATCCTAATTGAAGAATATTTTTTTTAATTATGCAGTGTTTAATCATTAATGGGTACCATGGGAAGAACTGTACCAAACACTGTACCAAGGGGCTATAGCAAAAGGCAACGGCAACAGGATGCACTGTATGGGACTGTCACGGAGTGACTGTCCTTGTCTTTTTCCCAGATGGGCAACTAGCAGCCTGCTCTGTGATCTCTATTTTAAATTCATATAGGTGCCCTTGACTCAAACTCCTGTACTTTTTTCTTTTCTTTTTAATGACACACATTTTGGGCCAGTTGTCCAGTTCTGGCCATGTGGTCACTACACGTGATCCTTGCTAGACTAGGAAAAGGTATGTTTTGTTAGGTTACCACTCCCTTAAATGAATTTAGGATGAGAGTTTGATTTCATTCAGCAGAGGGCTTAAGCCATGGGTAGGCAAACTTAAGGCCCGGGGGCCAGATCCAGCCCAATCGCCTTCTAAATCTGGCCCGCGGACGGTCCGGGAATCAGCGTGTTTTTACATGAGTAGAATATGTCCTTTTATTTAAAACGCATCTCTGGGTTATGTGTGGGGCATAGGAATTCGTTCATTTCCCCCCCAAAATACAGTCTGGCCCCCCACAAGGTCTGAGGGACAGTGGACCGGCCCCCTGCTGAAAAAGTTTGCTGACCCTTGGGCTTAAGCAATTAAAACCTCTCCTCTTAGCTTTTAAAGTTGGTATAGTATTGTGCCCCTGAACTATACCATGTGAACCAGACCCTAGATTTCTGTTCCTCAAAGAGGCCTACCAGTCTTCTTCAATCTCTTTACTGATCCTCTGCCTCTCCTCCTGCATATTTCTTTGCTCCTTCTTAAAGATGCCAGATGCTACATATCAGTTCACATGGAATTTGGGGTTGGGTCTGGCCTTTCCAAAATTCTTGCTAAGTAACCCTACAAAGGTAAATACAGAGAGAGCTTCACCATAGGAAGTCCCCTTATACTGCAACAGACCACAGATCTATCTAGCTTACTAATGTCAGCAATGAACATCAGCAGTGCTCCAGGATTTCACAACAGGGTCTTGTCTGTTCCTACATGGAGATGCCAGGGATTGAACCTGAGACCTTCTGCACGCAAAGCAGATACAAGCTGCAGCTGTGATCCAAGCCACCTGCTTCAGATGTAGCCACTCCACTTTAGCATGGCAGTTCAGGGGGGCAACATCATTAAAGGACATGGTTTTCTGCATGAGTTGGCAAATATGTGCTAAAAAATTTAATGGGAGATGTGTGACTAGTTATTTGAACACATTTGCAAGCCGTGCACAAGCTTAAAAGCATTAAGCTCAATTAATTAACACACATTTATAACCGAGGAAGAGTTATAGTATTCCTTCACTGAAGTATTGGAAATGCACTCTGAAATATGTGGTTTGCCCCTCGACATGCTCATTGGTTCACTGCCAGAGCCATATGTACAAACCCCCCTATTCTTTCAGAATGCAACTCAGAACCAATTTGCATGCATAAAATGTGGACTTGCACCGTCTACACCCACACAACAGTAATGAGTCCTGGTTCAGCTTACAGTCCATCTGTCATGGATTATCAGGGTTTTATTACTGTATTACATTTATATTCCAGCCTTCCTCCAGGGTGTAGTTGGTGGGATTTCTGACCCATCCACACCAGAGATATTTCCATGCAATGTAAAGTGGTCCCCCATGGTATAGCTTGATTTAGTCAAACCCTACTTATTCTTGATCAGAGAAACTTTGGGAAAGTCGATGGATAAAACTAGCTGGACAAGATACAGTAGTATATAGTATAATTAGTACTACTGCCACACAAAGTTGTCCATCACCTCAGGTCATTGGAGAGGCTCTTTTCTGGGTTTCCTCACCTGCTGAGGTCAGGTTGTGGTTGTGGAAGAATGAGCATTTTCTGTTGTGGCACTGTGCCCATGGCTTGTTCCCTGTCTGTTGGCTAAGGCTGTGTACTTTGCACCCACAGTTCTGATTTTCCAACTTCTGGTTAAAATGTTTTTACCTGCCCAGTCACTGTAATTCAGTATATTATACTATTGTTGGCTACTACTTACAAGGTTTTACTTTTTCTTTTCAATGAATGGTTTTTATTTGCTGCCACCTTGTAAAATTCTGTGCATGTTTACTCAAAAGTAACAAATGAATCTTAACCATCTTTACTCAGAAGTCAATCGTGCTGAATTGAGTGGGGCTTACTTTCAGGTAAGCAGGGCTCGGATTAACAGTCTTAAACTCACTGCTTTCTTTTGGAACTTACTGTCTAATAAGTGTCTTTAAGAATTATAGCCTTTCTTGCCATCTTTAGGTCTTGCTCTAGTTGCTGCTTGTACAAATTATTGTTCATATTATTCCTCTGTGTATTTTCATGATATTTGCTGCAAAAAATAAATGTTTTGCTGATGATAATGTGAAGTAGAAATATTTTAAATAAACAGATAGAGCAGTAATCTGGCTGCACAAAGGAGTTGTAGCAAGAGCAGTTTATTCCTTTCACAACTTTCAGTATAGTAATTACTCTTTGACACATACTTTGAAACGTAACACATACTTAACATACAATGCCAGGGGGGCCATCTAGAGTGTCAGAAGACCTGTCATCACACCTCCTAAACCCAGCACCTCTGTTGGAGCACATATGTGTGCACACATACACAGAAATCAACAAATCCTGGGAGTTAAAATTGCAGATTTCTCTGTGTCAGGATAGAACTGATTCTGTGAAGTTTCTGTCCTGGCAGACTGATGCTAGAGATGCCACCAGAAATTTGCTTTAGGCCAAGGATGGGGAACCTGTGGTCCTCCATATATTGTGGGCTTCCAACTCCCATCAGCCACTGTCAGCATGGCCTGTGGTCAGGGCTGACAAGCGCTGGAGTCCAGCAATATTTAGAGAGGCACAGGTTCCCCACTCTAGCTTATAAAGTACAATCAAGAAGATGCTTCCCTCCTACCCTGTTTGCAAATAGGAGGCTGGCTGATTCCAGTGCTTAAATGACTTGCGATGAGAGTAGTCTTAGGGGAGAAAGACTGGATGAGATGTCAAGGACATTATGGCTGGGGAAGGATTTCCAGATGTCAGGGACTGGCTGGACAAAGAGGAGTTGAGGGAGGCATCAGGCGGGGAACCCCCAATGGAACCCCCAGAGGGGGAAGGCTCAGAGCCCGGGAATTGGTGGCGGGACACTGGGGAGAGGTCAGAGGCAGAAGTTTGGAAGGAGGGGTTGGATGCTGAAGGAGCAACAGGGTCTAGTGAGCAGGAAGAGCCTGTGACAGGGAGCAGTTCAGACTTCAAGGCTGAAGCAGAGGGAGGGAGGAGTCAAGAGACTGCTGAAGAATCCCTCTCCTGCTGTGACAAGCTCCCCTCCTCCTCCCCCCCCCCATCTCCAACAATTCACAGAGTAACGAGAAGAGCAGAACAAAAGTCAGAGATGCGCAGACACAGTTTGTTTCGGAAACATCCAAGAGAGCCTTAGAAAGGGTGGAAGGCAGGGACTGTCCTGGCAACTGCTCCATAAAGGCAAGACCTACTGGGAAGTGTGACTAAGACCACTAGGCTGAGTTGTATGTTTATTTCCTTGAACAAAGAGTTAACTTCACTGACAACGGAGATCTGCTTCCTTTATTTCAGACCTGCGTCTGACTCCAGCCCTGACACCAACTTCTCTTTGACTCTTCTTAAAGACCCTATAATAAAGGATGGTTGTGTCTCAATGCATGCAAAATTCAGGACTGGTTCACAGCAGCTAAAACCAGAAATTCCACAGCTCAAGCGTAGAGCACATGCTCTGCATGCAGAAGGCCACAGATTTAATCTCCAGTTTAAAAGGATTAGGCAGGAGGTGATATGAAATATCCTTTGCCTCAGTCTTGCCATTCAGACTAGACAATACTGAGCTCCATACACAAATGGTATAAGGAAACCTCCTATCACCACCCACTTCAATTGCTATTCGCTTCTCAGTATCTATAAAAGCTATTCCAAATATGGAGGTTTTTACCCCTTTCCCTGGGAAAAGATCCAATG